ACTATAAGTACACCATTTTATTAAATTATTGACGCTTTCAATGGCTGTAGAAGTAGAGACAACTGGTAAGACCTCCCGGTCATCAAATTCGCTGCTACCTGAAGACTCATCATCGCTATTGAGATCATGTGCAGGGTCGTCATCAAGCACATCATTGTTCCATATTTCAATTTCTGGTATGCTAATGTTATTAGTTGGCTCTATTTCTGTTAAAAGTGCTTGAGCTGCCTGAAGAGCTCCATTGCAGTCTTGATCTTTTTGCAGTAGCTGTGCTAGTGGCACATCATCGTCATCACTTTCATACTGATCAGAGTCCCAGTTGTTCAACTTTGACCAGGACTTTTTTATTACTCTTTCTGGAACATCATACCAAGCTTGCTTTAATAGCATGATTGCATTTCGAATTGAAAAGGATTTCAAGCGAACCTTGAGGTCACCTCCTTCAGCAATTAATTGAGAAAGAAGCATACTTCTGTAGTTTAGCTTGGTTAACTTAATAGGATTCTGATCCATTGGTTGTAAAGTTGCTGTTACATTTGGTGGAAAGAAAAATGCAATTATATTTCCATCGTCGCTTTGAAGTTTCTCAATTGGTGCATGAGCAGAGCAGTTGTCAATTAGCAAAATTGCCTTCGGAGGCAAATTATTTTCCTGAGAGAAACGAATCACCTGTGAATTGAAAATATTTTGGAATTACTGAACCTAAAAACAAAGTTTTTTCTTACCTCATGAATAAATATCTTGTGAAACCAATCATGAAAAATCCGAGATGTCATCCTAGCATTTTTTGAAAAGTTGTAATGGAGTGGATTATTGAATCCTTGGAAACTTCTTGGATTTTTTGCTTTTCCAATTACTAATGGCATTAATTTATGTGATCCATCAGCATTTACACCAAGTAACACTGAAATTCGTTCCTTCTGGATTTTATACCCGGGGGCGGTTTTCTCGAAAAGAGAGACGTATGTTTTGTCAGGTAAACAACGGTAAAATAATCCGGTTTCATCTACATTATATATTTGTGACTCCATTAGCCCCATCTCATCGACTTTTGCACGAAATCTGTGAATAAACGGGGTGACTGAAGCAACATCACTAGAGAGAATCTCGCCACAAATTTTTAAAAAACGTATTCCGTGTCGTTTTTTAAATTTGCTAAACCATCCATCACTTGCGCTAAATGTACTTTCATCTTTATCGGGATATTCCACTTTGAATATTTGTTTGGCCTTCTCCTTTAGTATTGGACCAGTTAATGTACACTTTTTTTCGCGTTGATTTAAAAACCACTTATAAAGACTTGCTTCCATTTTTGGATATTCAGCGATATGCAATGATTTTTTGTTAGCCTTATGATAGGTATTAGAAACAGCGCTTAAAATTGATGATTTCATAGATTTGATATAGGTGATTGCAGATGGCGCCACATCAAATTCTAGGGCTAACCGCTTCCCTTGAATACCTTGGTCAAGCTTTTCCAAGATCTGCACTTTGGTTTCCAAAGACAAAGTATTTTTCTTACGTTTATTTGGCATTTCAACGAACGACTTTTACTTTTAAGCAAACAATGCCGAAACACGTGCACGCGAATCGAATTTCAAACAAAAACTAACAAAAACTGTACAGATAGCGACGAAAATCCAACGACTACCGAGCGTAACATGAATAAATTGGGGATTCCCCTTTTTATATCTATTTTGCAACAAAAAAATAATGTATTCAAAAAGTTGATTCTAATTTCTGGAAATTCTAATTACTAAGAGTTCTAATTTGTGAGCGTCTACTGTACTTGAATGTGGGTATTGCGGGTGGTCGTAACATTCCTTGTCAGTTCGTCAGCTATGCAATTGTCGTCAATATTCCGGTGTCGGAGTGCACCTATATGAGTAGAATTCTATGAAAATATCTATATTCTCGTTCAAGAAGCTACGGCATTCAGTAGCGGACTTCATTTTGTCCCTCCGGATCACTGAATACCTCGTACTTCTCTTCAATTAGGACGCGGTCGCAAATGAATGTTGAAGAACATATCTTTGATACGGATGACTGGTGTGGACGAGAGAACTCTCTCCCAACACAAATCCAAAATGGAATTTGAGCTACTTTACATGCAAGCTAAACGTCGCAAGGTTCAAGGATTATCCCGTCTATCGTATTTCAGAGATGGTGCTGATGTCAGCCTTAGTCTTTCCGAGGACATCGACCAGCCGGGCAGAGGCAGCTCTGTCGGGTCATTCTCAGAACAGATCCTTATATTTATATCCTTAAAGGTTTCCTTTGATCGTCATCAAAATA